AATTTCTTTTGTTAGCTTCTTCAGATAACGTACTGTCTTTTCTCAAATTCTTTGAAATGCCTCATTGTTACTTGCTCATTATATTTTTAATATCTTTAGGGCACTTAGCACAGATTGAGCTCCAAAATTTCTTTTATTTAAATAAAATTGTAAAATAGTAAAAGATACCCTTTCTGCAAACTGTAGCAATAGACTTGCAGATTTGACTAACCTGTAGCAATGTGTATGTTTTCTCAAGCGTCCTGAAATGGAAATTCTATTTTTCTAGGTCTGATTTATAAGAACCATAACTTTGAGAAGGCAGATACTATAACACAAGTCATAATGTAGATAGACACATGTAAATAACTTGAGAACACATAATGCAGACCTAAATAAGTACTTAGGGAACAAAATGAATGGAAAATGTGTGTGTGAGGACAGGGAATGCAGTATTGCTGTGTAGATAGAACTGGGTGAGGATAATTAGAGAAAGGAGTAATGGAAGTTTTGATTTCATAAGTAGATAAATTAGGATGAGGAGAGAGGGCTTATGCGAACCTGGAAATAGGAGATAAGCAGATTGTTTAGACTGGCTGGAAGGCTGTGTGGTTGGAAATGATAGATGAGGTGGGGAATAGAGAGGACTTGACAGCCATGCAAGGTAACTTGGATTTGATGTCACAGACCACAGGGAAACCCAAACTGAAATGTGACGTGATGAAAATAGTGCTTACTGCACATTAGTCCTGCAGTTGTATGTGAGATGGATGGGGAGGGACACATTGGAGGGAGAAGAGAAGTTTTGGAGGGAATCCAAGTGAGAGAAGCAGCAAAAGCTGATGAGTTGTAGGGGTGAACTGGGTGGAAAGCTCATAGCCACAAAATGAAAGAGTTAATGAGTGATGAAGGCTGATTGATAGTCCCGAAGGGACCTTACAATTCTGATAGTCAGCATAGTTACCTCCTTTGTAACATCTTCTGATATTCTACCCTCATTAGGAATCCCCTACAGACGGCTTGAGTTCTTGTTATAATCTGGGCCAATTTGTCATCTCTCATTTCTTCCAGAAGACCCAGAAGGCCAGCTTTGAAGAAAACCTTTGAAGAAAAAGGGAGAGTCACACAGCATCCCCCATAGGACAGGAGACACAGAGATGTCAGAAGGTACTTGGATCAGGTGTAAATAAATAACAGCTATACCTTTGTATGTCCAAATTTATATTGGGTGTGATCAATGTCAATGGACCCTAGAAGTTTCTCAGAAGCCTTCTTGCTGTCAATGAACTGTCCGTCTGGAATAGCGCTTGCATTTAAAACTTTGTATCTGTTCAATTAAAGAAAGAAAGGTGTGGTCATATGTGAAAATCAAATTACACCAAAAAGAAACATCAATAAAAATCTCAGAAAAAGAGTAAAAAAATATTAGAAAATCCAGCTGTCCTTTAAATTTAGATAGTGAAACAATATAATTTTTCCACTGTCTAATGCATGTCCCATTCCTATTTTTAAGAAATGTCACCTCTTCTAACTTGTTGTTCTGTCCTCCCACCCCAAGACTATCTTATTTGGCGTCTTAATTTTATAATATTTACTAAGCAGGATACATGAAATACAGTGAACAGAGGACAATAATTAAATGAGTACATATTCATGGCATCCGGTGAAATACAACAAAGAGAGACTGGCCTTTGTTTAAAGTCCCCATATAAGATTCTGCTTGGGAATCCCTTCCTGCAGATGCGGATGCCTTCCAGCACACCATTGCACCTCAGCTGGTGCAGGACAAGTTCATGCTCCATGGCCCCTAAAACGATATCAGAGTACTTAATACTGGGCACTGAATTTTTGAAGTTGTGCCTGTTTGATTATTTCATGCTCTTATATCTTACCAGGGGTTTTGGTTTCATTGGGAATGATACACCGTACGAAGTGAGGGTGTGTGCTCCTCAGATTGGTCATCAATTTATTTAAATTTTCCTAGAAAACCAGATAGAAGAGACTTGATGAGAAAGTTCTATTTCAGATTTCTGTTTTGTAATTATATGGAACTAATCTATGTACTCTCTTACCTATTAGGTATAAGTCTGTGAGGCTTCAATTGCCCTGTATTTTGTTTATTTTTAAAATCTTTATTGTTGAAAGTATCACATATATCCCCTTTGCTCTGTATTTTAAAGACATCCAGATTCTAGTCTGCTAAATAAGCAAAACGCTAAAATACTGGGAAGAAATGTAGCTCTCCAAGATATTAATTTCTAACGCTTAGGATCTATCCTATACACAAACTAAAAATTCAGTAGCCTTGATGCACAGGAAGTGTTCTCAGCTGGGAATCAAGACAAAAGAATATGGCTTTGCTCTGACACTAATGAGCGGCTTGATTCTATAGAGTCTTTTTTGTCTCTCTGGACTTCATCTGGAAATAATTGAGAGTACCTCTAAGATCTCTTCCTTCTCTCTCAGGGCTAATTATTTTCATAATAGTGGTTTATAGTGGTAACCTAGGTTAGCAATTGTTCCAACTTTTGCCATTTTTTCCTTGAGTTTATTATTCCCTGGAACGTGTAACACTTTTTTTTTGTATTTTCTTTGAGGAGTCTAAAATGATGAGACTATATAACCTTGTGTGGGTGGATCTTAGGTACATACTGAAAATGATCCACAGTCTGGGGTGTAGCGGAGAAGTTATTCCAAAAATAGAGTAATTGGTTATGGTAGATGATGGTGTTTTACTCAACCATAGAAAACTCACATGCAAACATTTCTCAGTATTTCTTATGTATATTCTTTGAGAGAAGGCAGAGTTGCCCCCTCCCCATCTCATTAAACCATATATATATATTCCATATATATATATGCCATATATATGCCAAGTGACTGGAACTATCAGAACAACCAAAGACCGGTCGCTATGACACACACTGTGGCCGGCCATCTGACCTGATCGGGGGTGGGGCCAGTCGGCCAACCTCCTAGGCTCCTTCCCCCGGCTAGCCTGTCCCCGATCAGGGCTCAGGGTGGGCTGGCCGGACCCCCCCCCCCATGCACGAATTTGTGCACCAGGCCTCTAGTTAGGAGATAAAAGTAATGCGTTTCTAATCTTGAAAACATGTACAAGGATAAGTTGATGAACAGTAGTTTATTGTGTGAGATAATGCAGATTGGTACTGAGAAAGAAAAAGAATAGGGCAGTATTCCTGTTTAGGCCATAGTTAGATCTGTATTTTAGCTATAAAAGAAGTCTAACAAAGTAGCCATTAGACCAGACATTTAATTCAATTCCCTTTAGAAGAGTCTGTTTTCAAGCCACTTAAGAAAGTCACATTATCTATAGTAAAATTATTATTGTTATTTTAATATCAAGAGACAGTTTCTAACTTAATCATCCATCTAAATCACTAGGCTTGGCTTTAGGTTATTTTCATCTATTACAAAAAACTAAATCTACAAACAGGTGTTTTGGTGGAAGGATGTTTCTAAGGCTTTTTGGCATTCCTGAATACAATGGGTAAAGCTCCGATTCTTCACAAGTATTGCTTTGGCTATGCCCCGACAAGAGTGAATGTTTGAGGTGATTTTTATTAACATTCAGCTCCCTCCTAATTTATTCTGAAGCCTATAATTATGTTAATTCATAGAAACTTAATAGGTTTTCTGAATTAAATTTGTACTTTACCCTAAAAAGAGCTGAGACAGTCTGGAAAGAAGAGCCTTTCTTCTTAGCACCTTTCTTTGCACCAGTGTCTGAGGTAAAAAGAAAACCCATCAATTAAAGTAGAATCCCAGAGGCTGGAATGGTATGTGAACATGCTGTAGGAATGGGTTGAAGTTAGATTAAGAGCACAGAAAGTACCTGCTTCTGTACCAGCGTATGTGGAAAAGAGACTGGCCAGAGTCTTCATTGAAGACTTCTGGTACAGCCCGACCACGGTCTCATTCAGGGGGTCCTTGTTCTTGTCCAGCCAGCCGGCAATGTTGTAGTCCACGGTGCCCGCGTAGTGCACCAGCGAGAAGTGGGCCTCAGCCTTGCCTTTGACAACCTTGGGCTTCTGGAAGTTGGCAGACTTTCCCAGGTGCTGGTCATACAGCTTGTTCTTGAAGGAGGCGTCTGTGGCCTTGGGGAACATGCACTCCTCCTCCAGGATGGAGAAGATGCCTAGTGGCTGAATTCAGAAGAGTAGACATTGGTGTCAACCTGTCTTCTTTCAAAAGATACAGTGGCTGTCATTTGATCAACTTATGATCATTTCCCAATTAATTATATTTATAAAGTAAAACAGAGTCATAGCTGAAGTCCTTTTGTTATCGCTAGAATGACCTTTCCACCGTTTTTTTTTTCATTCAGTCCACAGTATCATTTTTCTCACTTTAAATTTTTTACAGTTGACATAAAAGCTTATATTAGTTTCAGGTGTACAACCCAGTGATTAGACATTATGTAGTTTACTAAGTGATCATCCCAATAAATCTAGTACTCATCTGACACCATACATAGTTGTTACAATATTATTGACTATATTCTCTATGCTGTACTTTATATCTCATGACTATTCTGTAACAATCAATTTGTACTTCTTAATCCCTTAATCTTTTCACCCATCCCCCAATCCCATTTTCCATCTGGCAACTGTCAAAATGTTCTCTGTTTCTTGAGTCTGTTTCTGTGCTACCTGTTCATTTATTTTGTTTTTTAGATTCAATTAATGATAGATATGTATTTTCTGCCATTTATTATTCATGTTTTTATCTCTTTTCTTCTTCTTAAAGAAGAGCCTTTAACATTTCATGTTATACTGGTTTGGTGGAGATGAACTCCTTAGCTCTTTCTTGTCTGGGAAGCTCTTTATATGTTCTTCAATTCTAAATGATAGATTGGTTGGATAGAATGATCTTGGTTGTAGGTCCTTGCTTTTCTCAGTTTGACTGTTTATTTATGTATTTTTTTAATTAATACATAATTTAAAAAATCCTCACCCAAGGATATGTTTTTATTGATCTTAGAGAAAGGGAGACAGAACATGAGAGAGAGAAACATTGATGTGAGAATCATTGACCAGTTGCCTCCCGAATAAGCCCTGACTGGAAATCAAACCTAAAACCTAGCCCAACTGGTGTGGCTCAGTGGTTGAGTATTGACCTATGAACCCCCAAATTATGGTTTGATTCCCTGTCAGGGCACATGCCCAGATTGTGGGCTCGGTCCCCATTAGGGTGCATGCAGGAGGCAGCTGATAAAGGATTCTCATTATTGATGCTTCTATCCCTCTCTTACTCCCCCTTCCTCTCTCTGAAATCAATAAAAATATATGAAAAACAAAACAAAACAAAACAAAAAAACCCCACAAACCCAAAACCTAGGTATGTGCCCTGACTGGGAATGGAACCAACAACCTTTTGGTGTACTATATGATGCTTCAACTAACTGAGAAACACTGGCCAGGGCCAGTTTGAATATTTCTTGCTATTCTCTTCTGGCCTGCAAAGTTTCTGCTGACAGTCTTGCCGGGAGCCGGTCCATCCTTGCTGTTTCAAGGGACCTGGCATATATGGCATACTGTTCTTAATATGTTTGCTCACCTTCTTGGCACTATGTGTTTTAACGAAGGTCACCTCTCTGAGAAAGGTTGTTTCCCCAGGTTGGGATTTTCCCCTGAAGTTAGGGAGGGAATAAAACTCCTTAACTAAGTGCCAGGCGGGTAATTAATCACTTTAACTATGAACAATCATGCTTAAGCTACATAATCTTTACTCCCTGGAATGGAGATAAGAAACGCCGTAACCTTTGGACTAGAGTCTTTCCGCTCCCTCTGGCCTGCAGTTTCTGTTGAGAAATCAGCTGACAGTCGTATGGGCACTCCCTTGTAGGTAACTAACTGCTTTTAAGATTTTTTCCTTGTCTTTAACCTTTTGCATTTTAATTATGATGTATCTTGGTATGGGCCTCTTTAGATTCAACTTGTTTGGGACTCTCTGTGCTTTCTGGACTTGTCTGTGTATTTCATTCAACAGGTTAGGAAAGTTTTCCATCATTAGTTTTTCACAAAGGTTTTCAATTTTTTACTCTCTCTCTCTCTTCTCCTTGTGGCACCCTCATGATGCAAATGTTGATACACTTGAGGTTGTCCCAGAGATACCTTATACTACCCTCATTTTTTGAATTCTTTTCCTTTTTGCACAGCATGTTTTTTATAAAAGAAGAGCTGGATCCAAACTCCAAATGTCAGCACAGCATGGGGGGTGAACTGTTAAAAGGTTCTATACTGATTATACTTGTTTCCTATTGAATGAATTAACCTATTGACAAAGTTTCATTTTGCTATGAAAAGTACTTAGAATGATGGTTACTTTATATGCAATAATTAAATACTATAAATAAACCAAACCTTATGTAAGACATTTTGTGTATTTAATCTCCTTAAAGATAGATTATGAAAAAGCATAAGCACTTTGATTTCTTGACTTCCAAACAGATTAACTTTCATATAAGCTCTAGCTGTGTTGTTTGTGCATTAATTTTAATTTAGGAAAAAGACTTATTTTTATTGGATCATGATGGAGATGGATTTAGAACTAATGAGGCATTTCCTCTAGTGAAGCAGACCATATCAATAAAGTCTTCAGTGCTGCCTTCAAATTAGATTTGGATCAGTGTTAGAAGAAAAACTGGTTGGAACAAAATGAAACTAAGCACCGTGGTCCCTCATACGTAAAAGTTGAAAAGAAAAAGTTATTTCCAAATAGTAATTTTCTAATTTGTATTACAATTTAAGATTAACGTAATACCTTTTAGAGTTGCTTAAGATACTTGGAAAAGCTATCCTTACAGTTCAGCCTTTAGAAGTCAAACAGACCTTCTCGATGAGCTCAATGCAGGCAGCCAGGTCCATCCCGAAGTCGATGAACGTCCACTCGATGCCTTCCTTCTTGTACTCCTCCTGCTCCAGCACGAACATGTGGTGGTTGAAAAACTGTTGCAGTTTCTCGTTGGTGAAGTTGATGCACAGCTGCTCCAGGCTGTTATACTGCACAAAACAAAATTTTCAACATTAAGTGGATTTTATTGCAGTAAAATTCATTATTGAAAAAAATATTTTATTTCATTGAAAAACATGTAGAAGATATTAATGAAATAAAAATTAAACGAATTGTTGGTTCTTCAAAAATCCCAGGGGAAAATGATTATTTTTGACATGAACCCTTCCCATGAATTCTGAACATTAGTTAAAAACATACATATCAGTCATACAGCAAGAATTCTGATAGACTCTATCGCCTTCTACCTCTAAGATTTCATGGGCAATATTATTCATTAAAAGTACAACCATGATTCTATGAGTTATGGTTCAGATTTAAGGATGAAAGTAATGTATTAGAAAAACTTCACGTCTTTTACCACCCTGATTCTCCAATTCAAGATAAAGCTCACATTTTCACTTTTGAGTGTCACATTATTAAGGAAAACTTATCTAATTTCTGTTCTATTCATATAAAAAATTTAGCAGATCCTCCTTGCCAGGTCTGTGAAAGTAGGGACCTGATATGGTATAGTAATTGAAGATCTGGATCTTTGTTACAATTTACATCTTCATTTTATAGACAGTGAAGCTGATGCCCCAGGGGGGAAATGGTATGTGTCACATGAACTTGCCTCTACCTGTAGGCCCTTTCTCAGTGATGGGTGATGCCTTGATGGACCAAATGCTTCAGAGCTGGGTTCCTGTCCTGGTTTTGCCTTATGTGGCTGGAGGATCTTTAGCATGTGTTTTGATTTTCCTGATCTCCATTTCTCCACATGTTATTTGCAGTAATATTAATTTCTCCTTGGTGAGTTGTTTTGAAGGTTAAATGAGGTAGTCTTAGTATAAGTGCCAGAAATACACTTGCTCAATGAATGTTATCATTATTACTACATTCTGTTACCTCTTAGATATTTTGGAGGTAACTCTAGGCTAGCAATGTTAGAGAAAGCAGTGCAGAAACTACAAATGCAAATGAGTAATGATAATATGTAATACATATATCAAAGTCTAAGTTACCTTCTTCCCACTTTTATTAAAATGAAGATAACTCACATCAAAGATCTCAAAGCCAGCGATGTCCAAGACCCCGATGAAGTACTGCCTGGGCTGCTTGGTGTCCAGCTGCTGGTTGATGCGGGTGACCATCCACAGGAACATCTTCTCGTAGACGGCTTTGGCCAGAGCACCCACGGAGTTGTACACCTTCATGGACAGAGTAATGTTTTTGATGATGTTAAAGGCATTATTAAAGGAGTAGTGTTTGCTGGCATTATTCAAAGACCTGGAATGTATATGATTCTTTGGGGTCGTGCACTTACCTGCTGTACAGTCTGGCCTTTGGTGACATATTCATTGCCGACCTTGACCCTGGGGTAGCAGAGGGCTTTGAGCAGGTCAGCAGAGTTCAGATTCTGGAGATAGGCTGCCTTGTCAGCAACTTCAAAGATACAATTAGAGAAATGTTGTGTAATGGCAGATACTCTCTTTAATCCAATCTTTCTATTTTTCTCCAATCCATTTTCTTTATTATTTAAGTAAAACCTTTAAATAATTCTATAGAACAGTGGTTCTCAACCTTCTGGCCCTTTAAATACAGTTCCTCATGTTGTGACCCAACCATAAAATTACTTTTGTTGCTACTTCATAACTGTAATGTTGCTACTGTTATGAATCGTAATGTAAATATCTGATATGCAGGATGGTCTTAGGCAACCCCTGTGAAAGGGTCGTTCGACCGCCAAAGGGGTCGCAACCCACAGGTTGAGAACCGCTGCTATAGAAGGTCAGATGAGGCTCTCTGTACATTAGAGAATGTGCTTGCTAATAAGTGATCACAATCAGTTACACTGGTCTTTTGTAATTTATTGCAAGCAGCTTTTGAGAAACTCACCCACAATAAACATATGTTCAGTGTTAATGGAAGTATTTTATGTAAGGTACAAGCCACAGTCTCTTCTCTTAAGAGACATTAGGTGTAGTTGGAGGGATAAGATAAATATATCTTAATAGCCCCTGTTAGGGATAGGCAAAAGCATATTTGGATCCTTATCTTAGTTTTGCTCCTCCCAATTTCATCAAATTGGATCAGTTTCTTTATCTGAAAATGTGGGAAATAAATTTCACTACAGAGTCTCTTAAAATTCTGTCGATGACTATACTGTAAATGCCACATGCCAGGTACAGAGGTAATTGCTGAGAAGCTTAGGAGGTGGAGAGAGAATGCCAAGCTAGGAGGTCAGGAAGGGCTTCAAGGAGCAGATAACCAGCCTCTGTGGTAGGTCCTATATGTTCCATGTTCTTTCTGTGCATGGAGTACATGGTTCTCCTTTCTCAGTTTCTTTTTATCTTGTTTTCTGCCTAGACCAGCCGTGGGCAAACTACGGCCCGCGGGCCGGATCCCGCCGTTTGAAATGAATAAAACTATTGAAAAAAAAGACCGTATCCTTTTATGTAATGATGTTTACTTTGAATTTATATTAGTTCACACAAACACTCCATCCATGCTTTTGTTCCGGCCCTCCGGTCCAGTTTAAGAACCCATTGTGTCCCTCGAGTCAAAAAGTTTGCCCACCCCTGGCCTAGACTGTCTACAGGTTAATGTATAGTCAACATACATGCATGCAGATGTCTAGGAACATCCTTCAACCTCAGCTGTGTCTGGTTAGATCCTGTATTACCAGCTACCAGGTTTACCTAGCTAGTGCTGAAAGAGACCATTAGGTCAAGTTATCTTCTATACCTACCCGCGGTTGCCAAGGCAAACCAGGAGCCCTATTCCATCTCATTCTCTTTCTAATGATCTTTCCTCCTCCCCAACCCCGGTTGTGATTTTCTTACATATAAGTGGCTTATTAGGGTTCATTTTAACTTATTTGGGCTGGATAGAAATGATGGCAATACGGAGATGTGAGGAAGGAATGGGGGTGAGGAAAGCATGCAATGTATAAATGTATGTGTGCCCTTCAGAAGTCTGACTAAAAAGATTTGAATTTAGAATAAGCTTTTTTTTCTTGCCATTTTCTCTAGTTTGAACCCAGATGGAGCTTCATTTTGTACCTTCAGTGCCGTCTGGCTCAGCTTGCTCCTCACGCTGCTTTTGCTTGAATTTCATGTTCCCATAGTGCATTACTGCCCCTGTGAGCTTATAGATGGACACTTTCTCTTCAGGAGTAAAGCCCAGGATGTCAATGGCACTCTACCAGGAGAAATGAGAGGGTAAAGATGAGGGCAGAAGAGATTAACATTTAGGAGAGTTTATACTGTATCCTAAAGTAACCATAGCTACAGTGAGTTTGCTATTGTCATCCCCATTCATAATAGGTTTTTTAAAAAGTGTGTGTGTGTGTGTGTGTGTGTGTGTGTGTGTGTGTGTGTGTGAGAGAGAGAGAGAGAGAGAGAGAGAGAGAGAGAGAGAGAGAGAGACTGACTTACATCTGTGGCCATCAGCTCTTCTTGGTCATCAATGCTGGGGACTGTGATCTCCCCTTGACTGACAAAGGCATAGTCATATGGGTTCGTGGTGATCAGGAGCATTTCTGGGCACATAGAATACAGGAGATACATTTCACATTAGAAGTTGTTAATAAAAAATATTAAATTTCATCTATGAATTTATGATCTTTCTTACCAATCAGATCTGGCTTCTTATTGGAAGTAATCTGATAAAAAATATGGTAACTTCTTTCTGCCTTTAGCTGGAAAGTGACTCTGGACTTTTCTAGAAGATCTGGAAAGAAATGACATTAGACATCGAATTAGAAGAAAATATAAATGCTGCTGAGATAGTAAATTAATCTCAGTGTCTTTGAACAATTGGGGACATTATACAGGCTCTCTTGAGATTTCTGTTTGGTGATCGATCCTTTTGGTGATACATATATGAATTTCGAATACATATGGGAGCTGCCCAAGGTTCTTACCATTTAAGAGCAGAGACTGAAGCATAGCTGCTCTAGCAAAAATAAACTTTCCCTCTGGGGATCTGTAGCCTCTGGATTATAATTGGCCCTTAGCATCCCTTCCTTAGATCGCCTCAGACTCTGTGGTCAGGGTCTTCCGTGGAAACACTTACCGAAGCTCAAATCAAGAGCAAATCACAGAGATATATTGTAAACCTATAGGTCACTTTTAAGAACCCATAAATAGCTCTAATGTTTATCCTGGAAAAAAATTTCATAGTTGCTTCTGAGGCAGCAATTCCAGAATGTGCTATAGAACCGTCAGTCTGAGATTGAGGTAAATGGAGCACACAGTGGATCATGAATAAGCCTGGCATTGGCTCAAGGGCAACACTGGCAGCAGTCTCAGTGCATACCAACTGTTGCAAAATATCCCTGTTAATGAAATCACTTGTCTCTCTCTTCATTTTCAATGGTCTTGTTACTCACATGTTTCAATATCAGCAGAAGCCAGCTTCCCTGTAGTACCGAAGTGGATTCTAATGAATTTACCCTTGAAAAGAGAATGATTTAGTATTAAAAAGTTGAAGCACACAGTGATGCAGTTGAAATGATAATTCAGATGGCTACTCTGGCACTTAAGGGCAGAGAAGACCCCTCTGTGACCAAGACACTTACAAAGCGAGAAGAGTTGTCATTCCTCACGGTCTTGGCATTGCCAAAGGCCTCCAGCAGGGGGTTGGCACTGATGATTTGATCTTCCAGTGTCCCCTGCAAAGGCAAGAGCAGTGCTCACATCTGAGGCTTCCCACTTCCTGAGCGCCCCGACAGTCTTGATTCTGACTCTGGTATTGGACTCACCTTCATTTTGCCAGAAGTAGCTTCCTCCTTCTTCTTCTCCCCAGTAACTGCAATTGTTGCAAAGTACTGGATGACACGCTTGGTGTTCACAGTCTTCCCTGCACCAGATTCTCCGCTGTCAAATAGAAACCAGAGAAGAGATGAGAACTACATCTCACATTGTTAACATCTAAGATAATCACCACAAACCAGAGAAGATTAAAAATATCACATACGTGATCAGGATGGACTGGTTCTCGCGATCTGTGAAAGAGAAATCAAGCCCAGTCAATACGAATATTTTTTAATCAGTTCAGATCAAATACAGCTTGTCATTTTTCACATTTTGAAGATGTTGCCTATAATTTTTGTGGTGTTTTTTTTTTAGCCTCCAATATAGTACTTGCCACTTGGAGAAAAATTTGTGAAAAAGAGAGGCAAATAATCATCTATTTCTTTTCATGTTTTATTAATTTTTATAACTTATATTATGGGAAGTTTCAAACATATACAAAAGTAGAGACAATAAAGCACCCCCATATACCCATTATATAGCTTCAACAATTATTATCATTTGGTCATTTTATTTAAAATGTTTTTATTGATTAAAAAGAGAGGAAGGGGAGAGGAAGCGATAGAAATATTAATGATGAGAAAGAATCATTGATGAGCTGCCTCCTGCATGACCCCTACTGGGGATAGAACTGACCTCCTGGCTCATGGGTTGATGCTCAACCACTGAGCCACACTGGCCACACATTTGGTCAATTTTATGTAATACATACCCCTTCCCCCCGGCCATATCTCACTAGATTGTTTTAGAGAAAACCCCAGAGATCATATAATTTCATATGTAAATACTGCAGTAAGAATCAGAATTTTGAAGTTTAACAGATAAAGAAGCTGAGACCCAGAATGGAATAAGTGACTATTTAAATAAATACACAGCTTGTTAAGGACAAATATATTCAGGCCTTTTAACTTCTAGTTTATATATTTTTCTGCTACCTGTCCCCCTCTCAGTTCTTGATATCATTACTTTGCTGGTAATATTAAATAAGGAAGGGTTCTGTAATTGTGTTTGTGTTCATTTACCTTTTTTGGAAGGCATTGTTTTAGAGACTCACTTCACTTTTATTACAAATAAGCACAATCTCAGATCAGTACAGCTAGTTTAAGAGCTGATATTAGTAGAAATTATTCCAAAATTATTCTCAGGTCACTAATAATTAGTTATCTCACATAAAAGGGGGGAAAAATCCCTCCCCCCAATCTAGGAAAAGATATCCTGTGTATGCTTTCATATGAGTTTATTCATTCACAAATTTTGTCTGGCTAGTTATCCACCACTTATCCAATGGATTCATTCAGTCTCTTGGAGAGAAGAATATAGACCAGGGCTGGGCAACCCCTGGCACACGTGCCAAACATGGCATGCCAGTAACTTTTGCTGGCACGCGAAACCCTCTCATAATATTCCATTTACAATTTTTTTCTTAATATCAACTTTTTCATTTTTCAGTTAAATTCAGTGTAGGTGCATCTTAGATAAATAAATAATTTTACGTAACAAGTTACCTTAAAGACCATAGACATGGATTGACGAGAGAGGGGAAGAGCAATTTCTATGCCTCTGCCTTAACTCTCCCTGCCTTCCTAGATCCGACCAGGGTTTTGGTTTCATCCACATATGCTTGTGAATCTTTGTTCTCAGTGATGAATTTTGTTAAGTCTCATAATAGGAGTAGCCTAATTGATGAAAGCAGTAGCTCGTGCATATCTCTGAAGGTCACGAAATATAAACCTGATGTAAAATCTCTGGATCAGTGATGCAGCAGCAAAAGTCCCACTGATAATATCCAAACGAAGTCATAACGTTTTCTGTCGGACTATCAGTGTACATTTAACAATAAATGTATTTTTCATCATCATATACTGTGTTTTTGTCGCTCGAGTGAATTTTATTATTTCTTCAAGGTTCTTCACATATGTACACCTTAAGAGATATCAAGTAGGTGTAACATGTTCTCAAAAAATTAGGGTTGGCACACAGAAGAATTTTGAGTCAGAGATTTTGCTGGTTTGGCATGCACTCACAAAAAGGTTGCCCACCCCTGATATAGACTTATGATAGTATCTGGGACATATGGGCATATCAAGTTTATGGCAGATGCTGCTACTATAAAAATCCTCAGGATTTAAGAGAATTCCTCTACTGAAGGATTCCAAAATGCTTTATAAAAACCATTATCATTTACTTTTATTCTTTTTATTTCATATTCATTTTTAAATATTAAAAACAAAAATTGTCACTAGTTATATGATTGATAAGTTGATTTATACCAATCTTATGATATGTTAAAACTAATTTTATACCGATAGATCATAGATTTTAGAAAATTCTCAAGTCTAAAAATCTATTCAGAGAAATGGATACAAATATGGATATTGTTTAGATGTAGACACAGATTTTAGAGAACTTTAAAGTTCAGTCCAGGGAAGTATATACAGATCTTAGAACATTTTCAGATTGATTTTTTTTCAGTAGAAGAAAAATAATGAAAGATCATTATTACACCCAGTGGGAGTCTAGATCAGAAAACAATGTTCTAGTCTCTTGGCAATGCTAAAATAACATCACCAGGTCCCACGCCACAGTTTTGCATGATTTTATACGTAAATCATGTTTGGAAACCACAAGTAATCTTGAATTTGGAGCAGTTCCAAAGCTTGGGGGGACCTTGGTAGCAGGGTGGCAGTGTTAGTGAAGCTGCTGAGTATTAGAAGTCTGAAATAAGCCAGCATGTGCATGAATTCTGGAAGGCAGTTCGCTTCTGTGGACAACCACAGAACAGTTTACTGGCATGAAATCCTTGTAGAACTGCTGGCTAGTTAGTAAGGGAAGATTCCCATTTAATTCCTTTCTCTTCTCTCTTCTCCTTAAAAGGACAATTTAAAAACAAGTGCAACCAAACAAACACAACAGAATAGAACAAAACCCTAGCAGTTACTCAAATTCCATGGACCAACAGGAAATGCAGGAATTTAGAACATTTCCAAAGGCAATAAATTTGCTGTGTGAAGATGAAAGATTTTAATGCTGTATTTGGGCCTATAATGCATATCAAAGGTTTTTGTTTATACTTTGATAAGACAGGAATAACCGATTTTGAAATCATTTTAAAAAAATATTTTCAAAGAAAGAGTGGTTTAATTTTCTTTTATTCTAATAGGAAAATACATCAAAATCTTTGGGAAGATAGTGATAGCTCTATTTTTCACCCCTTTTTACCCCTCAGGCTGGCAATATTAGCTGTGCCATTTAAAGATAAAGATAAGGATTCACAAAGCATTCCAGCTAAAGCTGCTAACTGTTTTCCTTGATTGCTCTGGATGTAGATATTTAAAAAGAAACTATTGGAACATTTTTTTATTCCAATCAGAAGGTAAAAAAAATATGGGAAAGCAAACATGTTTACAGAGTTCTGTTAATTGTTTCAACTAGGCTTCCAGTGTCTAGCTGGCTGAGCTTGGGCAGATCAGTGAACCCAGTGTGCTTCCTTCCCTTCATTCACCTGTAAAGTGGAGATGGCTGGCTGCTGGGAAGAACATATATCATTATGGCTCTGAACGTTCTTTGAAAACAGTGATGCCCCTTGTGGCTGCAGTCTATTATTATAATTAAGGCCCAGAAAAATCTGTTCATTTGTTTGTTTAAAATTCTGTTGCCACATTTCTGTAAGCAGATGAATCACCCACTCACCAGTCAGCATGAACTGATAGGCGTTGTCAGAAATGGAGAAGATGTGGGGCGGGGCCTCCTGGCGCTTTTTGCCTCGGTAGGCAGACACCACCTCTGCATTATACACCGGCAGCCACTTGTAAGGGTTGACAGTGACACAGAAGAGGCCCGAGTAGGTCTGAGAAAAGCAGAAAATGCAGCATGTGGGTCATGATTTTACTCAGAGAGATAAACAATAAACAGATGTGGAAGGGCGCTCACATAGATCATCCAGGCTGCATAGCGCTCTTTGAGGTTGTACAGCACTCCAGGCTCATGCAGATGGGTCATCATGGCCATGTCCTCAATCTTGTCATATTTCGGAGGGTTCATAGGGAAGACTTGGTCTTCCCTGACAGTTAGAGTCTGGCAAGTAAATTAAGAGACCAGTTTGTATTAATGATTGGAGGTAGGGTTTGTGTTTATCTGTTTTGGTTATAACCTACACTTGCAGACACTGCAAGTCATGAAAAGATAATTCATTTCAGTGTTTGATGCTAAGAAAATTTGTTTCGTATTATGAACTTAAAAAAAAAAGATTTTTTCCTACCACATTCCCCCTCCCAGGTTACCAGGTTATGTCCTTTCACTCTTATTCTAATAGGCAGCATTTTTTTTTCCTTGCCATTCATTACAAGTAATTTCTATGGGGGGGGGGGCGCAGTAATGGAAACATTAATACATTATTTAACTTAGTAAACAATACTTCATTTGATAGGAGAAGTTTGTTTTTATTCTTCCAAATGTGGGGATTGGGGAATTGAAGGGAAATGCTAGAGGTCCATACTAGTGGGTTCAGGAAATGAGGCTACTGCTAAGAATTTCTTTTGCTTTCAAATATGATGTTCTCAAATGAACTACAAGGAAGCTTGTATTTGGTATAGGTTTAGAGATTCCTGCCCAGTAAGGCTTCAACTCGAAGGGAGGAGATAGAGAAATAAAATAGGAAGTTTTTCTCCAGGTTTTTACTTACTGCTCCACTTTCTGTCTTTACAGTTACTTTTCCTCCATCCTTGCTTTGTATGACGGTCTTCACGTAGGCTTCCTTGGGCTCCACGACAAAGACTGATGTTTTAGCATCAAAGGGCTTGTTTTGGGCCGCTATCCGCTCCTTTTCTGATTTTCGAAGGTAGGGAGCGGCTTCACCAAAAACAGCCATCTCAGCGTCCGAACTCATGGCTGCGATTTATTTAGCAGGGGATTCTGCCCTGGGAAGAAATGGGACAGCAGGAAAATAGGAACCAGAAGGCATCAAATGTGAGTTAGGATTTGAAATGAAAGAAATGCTGAGCCTCTATTGCCTAGGCTGTAACTATTCTTTCAAACTTTGGTTATCAGTGTTCTAACACAGAAACTCTAACACAGGACTGGTGTGGAATGAGATTGTCATTTGAGTCTTCATTTTTAAGACTTTGAAAATTGCCTTCCCAGAGTGTATGTAACTTGATCCTTGGGGATTGGGTACTTACAATTGAGTGAGAACGGAATCCTTGCATCATTTTAATCTCTAAACTGGAACAATATCTAAAACTGTTGGTGGATTGTTTTCAAACAACTGTCACTTTTTAATCCTTTCCTTTTTCCCTGCATGCTTTCATCTGCCATATGCTAGGGAAATCATAGAATTCGGAAGGAAAGTTTGTCTTGTGAAATGAAGATTAATGTGTTCAAAACTGTCAAAAACATCCTTGCCTTTATAGTTGGCCGTTTTTTAAAAACTCATAAGCCAAATAATTATTTTTAACACCTACTTTAGGTTAATATTTGGAATTATATCTCTCAGTGGGTTGTTAAAAGAACCTCATAATAAATTCTCAGTACTCTGGGTTTGTTGTCATTTGGTTTGTTACCAAGAGACTTAGCATTGCCTTAACTCCAGAGTCTCTGACACTCTTTTGGCATGAGAGATTTTAATTGTTAGAAGTGAGAGCTTCAGCATGAAGAAGGCCACTTCTCTCCATATAAATTCCACAGCTTCTTTTTTTTTCCATCCAGAAAAGAAAAGAGACAAAAATTAAGAGTTCACCCCATGCCTGTAAGCCATTGTCTTGTGATTGAGAGACAGGCCTGGCAACATTGGTATGCTAGAGTGATGGAATCTTCCTTTACTTTCAGGTGTATATTACCTGAGGAAGGGCCTGGAGCTCTTCCAATTTAGGTACTGCATTTAGCACTCTGTGGGTGTAATACTTGTGACTTTTTAATGACCAATAATCTTTCTAAAAGCCAGTAGCAGTGAATTATTAGAAAGTAGCTGAAATATTGTGGTTTTAACAAGATGTTTGTTAAATTGTTAGGTAAAAATTTTTCCAGGTGCCTAAAAAATCTTGGTAAAATGTTTAATTGTTCAACACTTTGCAGTACAAGGAGATTGGCATGGAACAGACCATTGCCCCTGGGCAGATATAAGTGCAGCTGAGAATTCACTGTCACAATTCATTCTGGCCTAAATGTCCTTTAATCCTGGAACTCAAATGAAGGTAGCCTCTGAGAATAAGATGTTCTGAAAATATGACTTGCTAGCATTTATATTCAGCCACTCACTTGGAAGCACCATCTAACATAATTGCAAAAACGTAGAAATGGTGTTTAATTAAGAGCCATTCTCATCTTCATTAGAATAACTTCCCTATGTCATCAATAAATTAATAAAGCTGAGTCTTACCTCTGGAGTTCCAGATGAAAATGCAGGTTCAGAAGTGTCTAACACTGTAAAACAATAATTTTGTTTTTTAAATTTTCTAAGCTCTGAAAGCTAGTAAAGTAGTTACAGAATTAAAATTTCTCTGGTCTAAAGCTTAGCTCTGTGAAAATAAAAGTCGAAGTTGGGAGGAAGAGTTTCATGCTCAGAGATGGATCATTTGGCAAGCTCCTTGTACCCCCGGGATCCTTCAAGCCCCAAGGCCCCCATCACTTACCTCTGGGTCTTGGAGATAAAGCAGCGGGATCTGTTGTGCTTATATAGGAATTAATGTGCTGATGCTGCAGCTATCTTCTCTTTGTTAGGGCAAGACATTTGGCAGCATGAACCCTCAGCATAATTTGTACTGACATTTGGCATGTTTGGATATAATTAGAAGTATTCATATCGTTTTGAGTATGCGAACCAATCTCCTATAAATAATTTTACAGGGGCCTCTCTGCCGGCAAAGAAGACTTTCTAGTATGCTGGGAAGGTAATCTTCGACAGTGCCTGGTGGGGCCTCAAAGTAAGTTCCTAAGAGCTATATTCGTTTTGGCAAATTCTTCCATGCATGCCTACCGTAACTGAATGATCAGACACTCAGCGACAATTGCTGTCCGGGCCCCAACCACTTTTCCTTATTTGCTACCATAGGAACCCCCCCAACTCATTCCCTTGGGTCACTGCCCAGGCTCATCCTTGGAGTCTCAACTTGGGCAGCAGAGCCAGTATGAGAGGAAATTCTACACTGAGTTTTCACCATTGGGTCAGTGCCTACCTGCTCAACATGGGAAAAAAATTATTATTTCATTAGAAAATAATATTTATTCGGTGTAGAAAAAATAAGCAAGGAGAAAAATGTCTATAATGCCAATATGCAATAATAAAATAATACATAGACATATAAATAGGGCCATACAGTACACATATATATAGAATATATAGGTCTTATCTGCTTTTAAAATTAATATAATACTAATGTAATTTATACCCTATTCTTTAAACAAATTATAACATAATTTTTTAAAATTAAAATTTTTATTGACTTTATTGGTGTTACATTGGTCAGTAAAATTATATAGGTTTCCAGTGTTCGATTCTGCAATACATGATTTGCATATTGCATTGTGTACTCACAATCCAAAATCTAGTCTCCTTCTGTCACCATTTATCCACCGTTTATGCTCTTCCACCTGCCCGCAAGCCCCTTCCCTCTGGTAATCTCCATACTGTTGTTTTTGTCCATGGGTAGTTGTGTTTTGTGTGTGTGTGTTTGCTTACTCCCTTCACCTATTTCATCCATCCACCCAGCCCCACAAACCTCTTGACCACTGTCAGACTATTCTCTGTATCTTATGAGTCTGTTTCTATTTTGTTTGTATATTGTGTTCATTAGATTCCACATATAAGTGAAGTCATATGGTACTATTTTTTTCTCTGACTGGCTTATTTCACTTGGCATAATACCCTTTAGATACATACAGGCTGTGGCGAAAGGTAAGATTTCCTTCGTTTTTGCTGGTGTGTGTGTTTTTTGTTTTTTTGCTTTTTACAGCTGGGTAGTATTCCAATGTGTAAATGTACCACAGCTCATCTACTGATGGGCACTTGGGCTGCTTCCAAATTTTGGCTATTGTAAATAACATTGCAATGCACATAGGGTTACATATATTCTTTCAAGTTAGTGTTTGGGGTTTCTTTGGATATAGTCCCAGAAGTGGAATCTCTGGGGCATAACATGGTTCAATTTTTAATTTTTTAAGAAATGCCATACTGTTTTCCATAGTGGCTGCACCAATCTGCATCCCAACCAACAGTACACAAGGGTTTTCTTTCCTCTACATCCTCGCCAACACTTATCATTTGTGGATTCATTATTATTATATTTAATCCTCATCCAAGGATATGTTTTTTATTGATTTTGGAGAGAGAGGAAAGGTGGCAGGGAGAGAGAGAGAAATCGATGTGAGAGTGAAACATTGTCAGGGATCAAACCTGCAACCTGGGTGTGTGCACTGAGCAGGAATCAAAACCACAACCTTTAGGAGTATGGGATGATGTTCCAAACCACTGACTCACACCAGCCAGGGCCATTTGTGGATTTCTTGATGATAACCTTTCTAACAGGTGTGAGGTGATCTCTCATTGTGGTTTTAATCTGCATTTCTCTGATAATTAGTAACATTGAGCATCTTTTCGTATTATTAACATTGGCCATCTCTATGTCCTCTTTGGAGAAGTGTATATTCGAGTTCTTTGCCCATTTTTTAATTGGATTGTTTGGTTTTTTTGTTTGTTTGTTTTGAGTTGTTTGAGCTTTTATAAAGTTTGTATATTAACCCCTGATCAGATGTATCATTGGTAAATATGTTCTCCCATTCAGTGGTTTGTCTTTTCATTTTGTTGATGGTTTCCTTTGCTGTACAAAAAGTTGTTAATCTGATGTAGTCCCATTTGTTCACTTTTTCTTTTGTTTTCCTTGCCCAAGGAGATATATCAGAAAAAATAATTGCTATAATAAATACAGCAATATCCTCCGTTTCTCTTTGAAATCAAAAACAAAGACATATGTCTTTATTGATATTTAAAGAGAGAGGAAGGAAGAAGGATAGAGAGATAGAAACATAGATCAGATCAGCTGCCTCCCTGCATGCCCCCTACTGGGTATTGAGCCCACAACCGGGGCATGTGCCCTGGCTGGTGCGGATCAGTTGATTGGAGCATCATTCCATACACCTAAAGGTTGCGGGTTTGATTCCCAGTCAGCGCATGTACCCAGGTTGCAGGTTCGATTTCTGATTGGGTCACATGCTGGAGGCAACCAATAGATGTTTCTCT